GGCGAGCAAATCTCTGGTGATTGCATAAAAACCGTCTTAGCAGTATAAGTAGCTCCTAGTTTTCAATGGGAACTCTACCAGTGCCAACACTGACGAGACAGTCTACCGCTCTTCCTGGGAAAATACGCGCGGCCTCATGCAAGGCTAGATGGGCGGGGTTATTGGCCACCAGGGCGCCATCTTGAATGACTCTACCATCATGCAAAACCACTGGGGAGAAATACACTGGAGCCGCGGTTGTTGCGCGAGCGCAGTGATAAATTGCCACTGAATGGTCACCTTGATAACGACTAGGACTGTCCGGACCATATGTATAATTACGAAACAGAAAAGGCTCTGGTGGTGACACGTTAGTTAGCGCTGTCACCACGGCTACTTTTGTAGTACTCCCACACAGAGCCGTAGTGTCTACCATGGATAGTTCACCGTAGACTTGCCGGAGGTGCTCAGTCATTGCGCGACTATCGTGTTTTTCACCTTTTATGAGTATTCTCACTAACTTCTCAATCGATCCGAGTGCACCGCCCTTTGAAAAAGCAGCGACACTTATTTCCCGCGCCACAGTTGAGCTCATCTGCAGAGGCAAATTTAGACAACCGATTCCAAGTGCGACTAAACCACCCGCGCTGGTGCCAACAACCAGGTCGAAGAAGGCGCCTATTTGGTGACACGGGAGGTACCTCGTTAATGCCTTCAGAATTGCGATGGTCAAAAGTGAGCGACTTCCGCCACCATCTAATGTTAATATTCGAATTCCTCGGGAGCTTCTGTGGCCGGTATGGTTTTGTCCACTACCAAGAGCTCGACGAAACCACGAACCGAAACTCGCGAGGAAACCACTCGGCTGAGGAGCTCCGCTGAGATTCTCATCAGCTCTGGGAGAGGCCATTAGGAGGTTTAAACGCCTTACTAGAAGGCCGCCGAGTGCACTGTTGGGAGTTTTCACCGTCGGAAGAGATATGGGGTGACTTTCGGCGACAGCGTTGAGGTAGAGCAAAGCACCGATAGTTCCGGCCGTACAGGCTTCGACCAGAGTCGGCTCGACTACTTCCAATGGAAGTCGTTGCACAAGGGCGGCAGCAAGAGGAGTGTAGTAGTCGTGGAGCTTATCGAACAACAACAGAGCATCATCTTTGGTGAGGAAGCAGTTGTTGGTGTCTCGGGTGGCGACCAAATCCCCAACCACGAGAGAGGGTCTGCGAACTCCACGAATGAGCAAATCGTCGTAGCTGGCGAGAACCGCCATAGCCGCTCGACCGAGACTAGCATAGATGACGGCACGAGCATGGCAGTGGTCGCTGAGGGCCATCTGGAAAAGCCTCCTCGCATCTCCTCTGTGTACACAACCGTTGTTACGACGGAAAATCAAACACAAGCATTGAACCACAAGCACCGGGACGAAGCTCGTTGGTGGCAAAAGAGATCGGATTTCCTCGAAAGTCAGCCACGCATCGTCGAGGCCATAGCAATAGTAGTCGGCGATGATGCTGATAACAGGAGACGGTTCGAGCCAGGATGAGTCTTCCAAGAGGTTAACCAGGATAGTAGTGATATCTTGTAAACTCAGAGTAAGGCCGGCTAGTAGACTCTGCCTGAGGACCACCAGAGCCTCCTTAGCCATCGCACGAGTGAATGCGTATAATACAACACATTCGATGGGAAGGTTCTTGAGGACGTTATAACTCTGTTGTGGAGGCTGGCGTATGAGGATAGTTGCTAAAGTAGCGAGCTCGTAATCGATCTTCTTGCGAGGTAGTCTCGATGACACTCTTTTGTAACGGAGCGCATGCAGCAACGGGAACATTGAAAAAACTTATACGATGTTTTCCATTTCAAGACTGTGGGGAAATATACATATGTTGCCGCAGAAATTTACGCGATTTTATTGATTTCTGGAGTATACTTCTGCTACAGAATTCATATATAACTCCTGAGCTCAGTCGTTGAGGAA